GAGCTAGCCGGCCTCCTCCCCAGCCCTCCTGCCCTCGCTCCCCAGCAGAGCCACAGGGAAACTGAGGGCAGGCAGGGAGGCAATCAACCCGAGAATCATGACTCCCAGCCTGCCTGCTCTAACCACTAGACCCCCACTCCCCTCCCAGAGCCGGGAGAGAACCCAGGAGTCCTGGCTCCCAGCCCCCCCTGCTCTAACCACCAGACCCCACTCCCCTCCCAGAGCCAGAGATAGAACCCAGGAGTCCTGGCTCCCAGCCTGATATCTTGAACTGGGATACGCCCCCAGCCCCAGTTCTGGTTCATGTAGCCATGTCCTTGGCCTGGCTCTGGGAAGGATGGGTGATGCCAGCGGTGCCAGGGCACCATCTACTGGTGAAAGCTGCAAACTGCTGCTCTGTGCTCCCCCTGGGGATGGGTGGTGAGTGCCCCATCACCCCCGGCACTGGCCCACCTTCTCCAACAGGGTCCCACGAGCTTGGGGACCCCCCGTCTGGGGGAGCTCCTCCCAGCCGGCCCCGAACCTCTTGCCTCTCTCGGACTAGCTCGGCGCTGCTCTCCCAGCCTGGGTCAGCCGGGAAATCCACCACTTCCCCAGGAAGTTTGTTCCCATCCCCAGGCCCGGGGCCAACCACCGAGATTATTAGCGTTAGGCCCAAAGCTGACTGCGAAGAGCTACAAGGGGATCGCCTCAAACCAGGCCACACAACGGCGGATTAAACTCAAGGTTCGGAAGAGCAACGTCGAAATAATTCAAGGGGATCAAAATTAGCCGCCGCCGCCACTCGTGAACACCATCCTGGCCTCCCTGTGGACCGATTCTTGGAGAACGCCAGCCCTACGCGCAGCAGCGGTCAAAAAAGGCTCAGAGACCAGCGGGAAAGGGATCAGAAACACGACAGAAAATATAATGTCGCTGTATGAATCCGTGGGCCGCCCATATCGTGGGGACTGGGTCCAGTTCTGGCCGCCCCGTCTCAGAAAGGGCCCAGTGGAAGTGGAAAAGGCTCAGAGAAGGGCAGCAAAGGTGACAGAGGGGCTGGTGTTCAAACAAAGAGAGACTAAAAAGATCAGGGCTGTTTAGCTTCGAAAAGCGATGACTTGGCGGGGGGGTAGGAGAGAGGTGTAGATGTGTGTGGAAAAAGCGAATAGAGAATTCTTCACACAATGCACAAGTAACCTGTGGAACTCACTGCTGGGGGATGTCGCGATGGCCAGCAGGATAGCGGGGTTCAAAAAGGAACTGGAGAAGTTCCTGGAGGATAAATCCATCCATGGCTGTCAGCCAAGATGCTCAAGGAAGCAACCCCATGCTCCGGATGACAGTAAATCTCTGACGGGCAGAAGCCGGGCGTGGATCTCTCCAGAATTGCCCTGTTCTGTACGCTCCCCTTGAAGCTCTGGCATGAGCCGCTGTCGGGGATGGGAAGCTGGGCTAGACGGATCATGATGTGACTCACCACGGCCACGCTTAGGTTCTTAACTTTTAACGCCTTGTTTGCAACTGGAATTTGTCTGGCTTTATCTCCCAGGCATTGGATCTCACTCTGACTTTCTCCTCTAGATTAAAGACCAGTTGGCACCAGGGATTTCCCCGCTCAGGTGCCGCTATCCACCCACCTTGCGCCCGATCTCCCAAACAAAACAGCCCGTGCTCCTTCGATCTCCCCACTCAGGTATCTTCTCCAGCCCTAGGACCATTTCTGTGACTCTTAATCAGAGACTACCAGGGTTGGAAGGACCTCAGGCGGTATCTAGTCCAACCCCCTGCTCAAAGCGAGACCAATCCCCAGACAGATTTTTGCCCCAGATCCCTAAATGGCCCCCTCAAGGATTGAGCTCACAACCCTGGGTTAGGAGGCCAATGCTCAAACCACTGAGCTATCTCTTCTCAGCAGCCTCTCCAGGTCCTTTGGAAAAGGGGGGCAGAGAGTCCTGGCGTCTGGCCGTGGGGTGGATGGGGCAGATGTCGACTGTCCAGCCATCCGCCACATGGCTCTACAGGCATGGGAGGAGGAGGGGCTTGGACCGCTGGTGTTGATTTTCAACACGTCCTGGAGCCCAGCCATCTGGGGAAGGCCCAGAAGACAGCTAATGTCTGGCCAGTGTTTAAAAGGGGTGAATGGGACGACATGGGTAATTACAGGCCCGTTCTCCGGACACGCGGCAAGATAATGGAACGGCCGGCATGGGACTCAGTTAATAAAGAACGAACGGAGGGTGATGTAATTAATGCCAATCAACATGGAAGGACTGGGGCAGGGCCTGTCTCTCGCTGTGTGTCTGGGCAGCGCCTGGCATGACGGGGCCCTGATCTCAGCTGGGGCAGGGACTGTCTCTGGCTGTGTCTGGGCAGTGCCTGGCACGACGGGGCCCTGATCCCAGCTGGGGCAGGGCCTGTCTCTCGCTGTGTGTCTGGGCAGTGCCTGGCACAACGGGGCCCTGATCTCAGCTGGGGCAGGGACTGTCTCTCGCCGTGTGTCTGGGCAGCGCCGATCTCAGCTGGGGCAGGGACCGTATCCCCCAGATCAGGTCAGCAGGGAGTTGGGGGGCACCTGCTGTCACCTCAGTTCCTGCCACGCGCATTCGGTCTCGCCTCCTCTCCAGCCGCTGCGTCTCCCGAGGGCTGACGTGCCTTGGTCTAATTAAAGGGCGAACCCTCCCGTCCCCTGATTCATCCCCCTCCCTGGGACACGCCGCACCCCCATTTCCACTCCCCGCCCGTCCAGCTGCCACGGCCAGCCGCTGGATCAGGGCCTGCTTAAGAGCCCTCTAGGATCTGGGTCCACCCCCCATGGCTGAGTCCCTCACAGTCTGTATCCTCCCACTGCCCCGGGAGGTAGGGCGAGGCTGTGACCGCTTCCCCCCTCCCCTCGCCTTGGGCAGATGGGGAAACTGAGGCAGGGAGTGGCCAGAGGTCAGGGCTCACAGGTGCCAGGGGAGGGCTGCGTTCACGTTACCCTGGCCCGACCCCCTCGGTTATTCCTCCACCCCCCCCCGTGCTGTCCTCCTTCGGCCCCCAACTTCCTTCCCTCCAGCCACGCCCCTCACAGCCCTGGCTCCGCCCCCGCTCCCCCCTGGGGGTTCTAACTCCGCCCAGGCTCCGCCCCCGCTTCCTCCTGGGGGTTCTAACCCCGCCCTGGCTCCGCCCCCGCCTCCTCCTGGGCGTTCTAATCCCTCCCTGGCTCCGCCCCCGCTTCCCCCTGGACGTTCTGGCTCCGCCTCCGTTTCCTTCTGGGCCTTCCGATCCCGCCCCTTTCCCCGTCCTGGCTCCTCCCCTATTTCCTCCTGAACGTTCTGACCACGCCCCCTCTGCCTTTGGTTTCCGGGTCGGTCGCCCCACGCACGGCTCCCGGGCCGTAAAGTGAGGCCAGCGGGGAGCGAACGAGTGAGTGAGGTGGGGGCGAGGGGCAGAGCTGGGGTCACGTAATGGGGGTGTGGGGGGCTGGGCGGTATTTGGGAACAGCCGGCCGCGGGGGGGGATACAGGAGCACGTGGGTCTGGGGGGACTGGCGGAGGGAAGGGGATGTTGGGGGAAGGGCGGCAGGGGCTGGGGGTCACGTGGGAGATGGGGGGCGGGGGGAGGGAGAGATCTGTAGGGCGGAGGGGGACGTCTGGGGGGGCATGAAATCAGGTGGCGGGGGGGGGACTTGTGGGACCTAGAGGCGGGGGGCCGGGGGATGCGGGAGGGAGGATGGGTGGGGTGGAAGGGGGAGTGGATGGGGCAGAGCTGGGGGTGCTGGAGCATGTGGGGCGGGGGCAGGACAGCAGAGCCCATGGGGTCTGGGAGGATCTGTAGGCTGGGGCGTGGGCGGGGACAGGGCACATGGAGGGTGGGGTGACCAGACAGCAAGTGTGAAAAATCGGGACAGGAGGTGGGGTGTAATAGGAGCCTATATAAGAAAAAGACCCCAAAATCGGGACTGTCCCTATTAAATCAGGACATCTGGTCACCCTAATGGAGGGTGGGAAATATGGGGGGCTGTAGGGGTGGGGAATGGGGTGGAGGAGTGGGAAGATATGGAGACAGGGACATGTGGGGGAGATATGAGGTGCTAGGGGGTGGGGAATGGGGTGGGCAGGTAAAGGGTTGTGGGGGTGGGCAATGTGGGGCGGCTGTGGGGGCGGCACGGAGGTCGGGGTGGCCTGAGGCTGGATCTAACCCCTCCCTCTTGGCAGGGGGCAGCGCCCGGGATGCTGGAGGAGCCGCAGGGGGCGGAGGAGGACAGAAGCCCCCCGGGGGCCGGGCAGGAGGTGGGCGAGGAGGGGAGCCCCCGACTTGGAACCCCCGACCCCCCCCAGGGTAAGAAGATCGTGCCGGGCATCGTGTACCTAGGGCACATCCCGCCCCGCTTCCGGCCCCGGCACGTCCGAAACCTACTCAGCGTCCACGGGGAGGTCGGACGCATCTTCCTGCAGCCCGAGGGTGAGTCCACAGAGTGTGTGGGGGGCTGGGCACTGGGGGGCGCTGTGCTGTGGGGAGCAGGGCAGGGGGCTGGGCAAGGGGTGCTCTCCCCTGGCAGTCAGGGCCGGGCTCTGGGGGGGTGCCGTGCTGTGGGGGGCTGGGCAGGGGGCGCTCTCCCCTGGCAGTCAGTGCTGGGCGCTGGGGGGGGCACCGTGGGGCAGGGAGCAGTGTGGGGGGCTGGGCAGGGGCGCTCTCCCCTGGCAGTCAGGGCCGGGCACTTGAAGGCGCACAGGGGGATGTCGGTTACCCAGACATGCCCTGACCCTTTTCACTCACTAAATCTCCCTTGCTGGTTTTCACCCAATATTTGGGGCGCGAACCCAGGCGTCCTGGCAAAATCCCGTCTTCAGCTGGAATCGCTGGCTCCGGCTGCATATCAGACTCCCCTTCACTGCCTGGGTGAAAATATATCGCGGCGTTATGTGCGGCTGTTCCCTGGCCTCCTCGCCCCAGAGGTGGCTGCATCTCTGCGCCGGGCGGGCCTGTGGCTGGAAGGGGCTTGCAGGAGGTATGGCAGGGGCTGATCTCTCCATCCCCCCAGAGCGGTTCGTCCGGCAGAGGAAGAAGAAAGCTGGCGCCAAGGCCAAGAACTACACGGAGGGCTGGGTCGAGTTCAGGGACAAGCGCGTGGCGAAGCTCGTGGCCGCCAGTCTGCACAACACGCCTATGGGCACCCGCCGGCGCAGCCGCTTCCACTACGACCTGTGGAACATCAAGGTACCGGCGCTGGGAGGGGAGTGGGGTCTAGTGGTTAGAGCGGCGGGGCTGGGAACCAGGACTCCTGGGTTCTCTCCCTAGCTCTGGGAGGGGAGTGGGGTCTAGTGGTTAGAGCAGGGGGGGCTGGGAGCCAGGACTCCTGGGTTCTCTCCCCGGCTCTGGGAGGGGAGTGGGGTCTAGTGGTTAGGGCAGGGGGCGCTGGGAGCTAGGACTCCTGGGTTCTCTCCCCGGCTCTGGGAGGGGAGTGGGGGCTGGTGGGTTAGAGCGGGGGGCTGGGAGCCAGGACTCCTGGGTTCTCTCCCCGGCTCTGGGAGGGAAGTGGGGTCTAGTGGTTAGAGTGGCGGGGCTGGGAGCCAGGACTCCTGGGTTCTCTCCCCAGCTCTGGGAGGGCAGTGGGGGCTAGTGGTTAGGGCAGGGGGGGCTGGGAGCCAGGACTCCTGGGTTCTCTCCCTGGCCCTGGGTGGGGAGCGGGGTCCAGCCGGTCAGAGGCAGTGAGGGTCCGTCTGTCCCCGCAGTACCTGCACCGGTTCAGGTGGCCGCACCTGAGCGAGCGCCTGGCCTACGAGCGGCAGGTCCGGCAGCAGCGCCTGCGGGCCGAGATCTCCCAGGCCAAGCGCGAGACCAGCTTCTACCTGCGCAGTGTGGAGACGAGCCAGCGCTTCGCCCGCCGGGCCGCCGCCGCCCCTGCCGGTGCCGAGGAGAAGAGCTGGGGCTTCGTCCAGCGCCCCACAGAGGAGGAGATCCAGTGGCGCAAGGCGGGCGCGGGCGGGCGCCGGCTCCGTGGGCAGCTGGCCAAGGCCCGGGAGATCCAGTTGAAATCCCAGACCAGCCGCTCCTTGCTGGCCAAGATCTTCAATGCCGCGGACGCTGCCTCGGAGGAGGCACCGGGGGGCCCGGATCTGTAGTGAGAACCCCGGGCGCTGGGGGGCGCCGTGCTGCGGGGAGTGGGGCAGGGGGCTGGGCCGGGGGTGCTCTCCCCTGGCAGTCAAGGCTGGACACTGGGGGCCGCCGTGCGGTAGGAAATGGAGTCGGGGGGGCTTTGGGGTTCTCTCCTGTCTCTGGGAGGGGAGTGGAGTCCAGTGGGTTTCAGTGGGAGTTGCTGGGAGCCAGGACGCCTGGGTTCTCCCCCCAGCTCTGGGAGGGGAGTGGGGTCTGGTGGGTTAGAGCGGGGGGGGGGCTGGGAGCCAGGACTCCTGGGTTCTCTCCCCAGCTCTGGGAGGGGAGTGGGGGCTGGTGGTTAGAGCAGAGGGATCCTGGGAGCCAGGACTCCTGTCAATTCCCATCCAGCGTGGCACAGAGTTGGGGTTTCGGGGAGCTGGCTGGGGCTCCGGCTTCCTGGCCTGGGGGTACCAGCGTGGGAGCGGGGAGTGGGGGAGGTGGATCCGAACCGGGCAGCAGGACTCAACCCGAGGCGGGGGGGAGGGAGCTGGGGGGAGCCCAGATTAATTTAAGCCCTGGGCAGGCTGCAGGTTGGATGCCCCATCCGATCACCCCCAGCCCACTTCACCCGCCCCCCACGCTGTCCCCCGCCTGCCCCTCGGCCCTGGGGCGACGGGCGTTTGCCCCCCAGCAGCTGCTGGTTCCTTAGCCCCGGTGGCAGGCTCTGAAGACCAGTCGTTGCCTCGACTGACCCCAGCGTCTCGGCTCGGGATAGTCCCTTCCCCCCCGCCATGGCCGCGCTCGGCCGCTGGTTTCCCCTGGGGACACTCGGACCGTTGGGCCAGGCTTGATCCCGGCCCCTCGTCTGTCCCGAATTCGAGCCCCTGACTGGCAAAGGAAAAGCCCCCTTGGAGTCCGTCCCCGTGCATTTGATGCCAGCTGTGACGCGGGGGCTCGCCGGTCCCTCCAGCTGAGTGTCATTAAAAAACCCGAGTGACTGAAAACGAACCCGGCGACTGTTGAGTTTATTCCAAAGTGGCCGACGGCTCGGCCTTCAAACGCCGCTGCGGCCGGGGCCTCGGCGTCCACGGGCGGGTTTCCAGCGGGGAGCGTCTCGGCCCGGCTCTGTTGAACATCTTGACCACCGCGTCTCTGCATTCCCAGGGTGTCCCCAGCCGCAGCACCAGCCCTTCGGCCTCCGATTAGCTGCGCCGGGGGCTGTGGGTTGGGAGCCAGGGGGTTAGCAGAGGGACCCTGCGATATGAGGCCTGGTCGGGAAGGGCTGGCGTAGGGCCTATGGGCCGCAGTCAGGCCCTGCCCGCGCGTTCGCTGGCCGGGACGTGATCTTGGTGAGACCGGGGGCTGCAAAACCACAAACGCTCCTACAAGGGGCCAGGCACCGGCCGCTCGTGTAAACACGCCCCGGAGGGATCGTGCCAGGACCCTCCCACTACCAAGCTACGGTGTGAACGCCCCCTGCGCCCTTGGAAAGATAAGCTCCGGGGGGCGGATGAGATGTTTGGATCGACCCGCCAGGTACAAGGCACAGGGTGGTGACTGACCCTGGCAGTACGTAACTTGTTTGTATCGGTGCATAAAAGAGGGGTTGCCGAGGGGTCATCTGGCTGGGGGACGGACGGACGGAAAGTCACTGAGCTGGTCCGTTGTCATGGGGCTTGCGTGTCTGAGTGTCCCTGTTATGGGGCGCTCTGACTGGGCCAGTACAGCTGGCCGGGCCCCTTCCCTGCTGAACGGAGCCGCTGGTCTGTGCAGAGCCGGTGCAGCGCCTGGAGAGAACATGCACACAGCCAACAAGGGACGGGGAATGGGGCCTGTCCCCTCTAGGGGCACCAGCTTCCATCCAGCCCCAGGGCAGGGACTGGCTGGCTTAGGGGGGTGGGGAATGGGGCTGGGGCCTATCCCCTCTAGGGGGCGCCGGCTCCCATCGGCCCTGGGACAGGGGCCACCCACCCACACCTCCCCAGCTCCCACCCCCCAGGCTGAAGGCTGCCCTGGCTCTGTTGTCTCCGGCCCAGGGACTATGTTGCATCTGGAGTTTTACTGGCGGCAGCTCCCCAGAACCGAACCAACAGCTGGGCCTGGCCCCCTCCCTCCAGAGCAGCCCGATCTCTGCTGGTGTAACCCCCCGGGGGGCGCAGTAGAGCTCCCGGCCTTAACCCAGACAGGGTGCAGGTGGGTCCAACCCTGGCCTTGCCCCATGGCTGGCATCCTCCCCCCCCCCCCCCCCCGGCGCTGGAACGGCCGCCCCGAGGTTTCCCCTAACAGTCAGGCCCCTGTCTGGTTCTGGACCAACACCGCCCTGTGGTGTTCCCGAATTCTGGCACCGACGGTGAAGTTGGACCTGGCTTGGCCTCGCCGCGGGCGCTCCTGGAGAGGCGCTGGGGCCCGGCAGCTCAGTCCTGGAGTCATGGGGCCCCCTGGCACAGCGTCACCCCTGGGGGTCCGGCATGCGGCCGGGGGTTGCGCCCTGGCAGTGGATTAGCGGCGGCGTGGCGGGATCCTGGGGATCCTGGCTGCTCTTTGCTCTCCCTGGCTGCCTGCGGCCCCGATCCCTGGCCCTGCTTTGATCCCTCGTCGCACCCCTTTGCCCTGTGCTCCGGGGCTCTGCCTCGGGGGCCTTGGGTGGGTCCGTGCAGCGCCTGGCGCGACGGGGCCCCGATCTCCCCTGATGCTGTTTCCACCCAGCGTGCCAATCTCGGCAGTGGCACAAGGTGTCCTGTAAACACGGCACCAGGCACTCGGCCTCCGGACTCCGATTAGCTGGGCCGGGGCGCGCGGTGCCTGGGCGAGATAAGAGCCTGTTTGCGTTGACTGGAGAACGGCCAGGAACGCTCCCACCTGCTGGGACAGGGGGGGCTCAGGACCCCCTCTGCTCCTCCCCAGCAGTGGCTGCTTCTGTGCAGGCACCAGAGCTGCCGTCCCTGCAGCTTCACCCCTTTTTTATCCATCCCTGCAGCCCCTCTCTCTGGGGAAACTGAGGCTTGGAGCATGCGTCCAGCTCCAGGAGGACGGACGGGGGACCCAGCCTGCGAGTCCCAGAAAGGAAATGGCATATTCTGGATAGAACCCAGGAGTCCTGGCTCCCTCCTATGTTTTAACCAGAAGACCCCACTTGCCTGCCCAGAGCCAGGGATAGAACCCAGGAGTCCTGGCTCCCAGCGCCCCCTGCTCTAAGCCACCAGACCCCACTTCCCTCCCAGGGCTGGGGAGAGAACCCAGGAGTCCTGGCTCCCAGCCTCCCCTGCTCTAACCTACTAGACCTCGCTCCCCTCCCAGAGCCGGGGAGAGAACCCAGGAGTCCTGGCTCCCGGCCATACCCGAGATGCCCTTGTTGTTCTCGGTGCTGGGGGGAGGTGACCTTGACGAGGGGCGTGGGCAGCGCCCGGGGCTATATAAAGCCGGGGTGCCCGGTGCCCAGTACCCACTGCTCAGCTTCCCCTGGCCCTGCGGAGATGAAGGCTCTTGCGCTGTTCGCCCTGCTGGCCTGCCTGGTGCCGGGTAGCCTGAGCATGTACTACGGCCGCTGCCAACTCGCCCAGACGCTGCAGCAGCTGGGCCTGGACGGCTACATGGGCTACAGCCTGGCCAACTGTGAGTGACCCCCCCCACCGCCCCAGACCTCCCACTTCCCACCGGGGCGGGGGATGGGGGCTTCAGGCAGTTCCTTCCCGTTTTAACGGGGGCCATTTCTGCAGTTGTAGGGTTTTTGGGGGGGGTGGACAATTATTTAACGACAGGAGCCTCTGATTGTCACACGGCGACGTTTGATAACCAGCAAAACGAGGCTTGGCAGACACCAGTGTTTAGGGGGTTTTATACTTTCGACGGGTCCGAGCACGGTTTATCTTGCACTTTTTTCTGATTTTTTAAAAAACCCCTTTACATTCGCACAGTTGTGCAAAATTACGGGTTTTAAACCTCCCCTCCCCCCCCCCTGTTTATCCATTTAAATGTTCCCAGTTGCACGAAATTCTGGGTTTTAAGCCTTTTTTCTCATTCGATCCATTTAAATGTTGATACTTGGGCAAAACTGTGTTAAGATTTTTTCCTCCACTTAGATATTCACAGGTGCACAAAACTGGGGGGTTGCATTTTTTTCTGTTTCTAGCCATTTAAATGTTCACAGTGGCACAAAATTGTTTCAAGCATTTTTTGCCCGTTTGTCCATTGACGTTTTGAGCTGCTCAAAACGATGAGTTTGACGCATTTTTGGGGTCCAACTTGTATCCGTTTAATTTTGCCCAGCCGCACGAAATTCGGGGGTTTGAGCCTTTTTTCTGTTTCTAGGCATTGAACTTTTGACAGTTGTGCAAAACCATTTTACGCATTTCCCCCAATTTTTATCCATTTAGCCCAGGGGGGGCCGCATGCGGCTCTTCAGAAGTTAATCTGCGGCTCCTTGTCTAGGCACCGACTCCGGGGCTGGAGCTACAGGCGCCAACTTTCCAATGGGCCGGGGGGGGGGCGGGGGGCTTCACTGCTCAACCCCTGGCTGTGCGACAGGCCCTGCCCCCCCTCCACCCCTTCCTGCCCCCTTCCCTGAGCCTGCGGTACCCTCCCCCCAGAGCCTCCTGCACCCCACGAAACAGCTGATCGGGAGGTGTGGGGAGGGAGGGGGAGGCGCTGATCCACGGGGCTGCCGGTGGGTGGGAGGCGCTGGGAGCCAGGGGGGAGCTGATGGGGGGCTGCTGACATATTACTGGGGCTCTTTGGCAATGTACATTGGTAAATTCTGGCTCTTTCTTGGGCTCAGGTTGGCCACCCCGATTTAGACGTACACAGCTGCACAAATATTTGTTAAGGATTTTTTTTCTACTTGTATCCATTGACATTTTCACAGCTGCACAAAATTATGGGGTTCAAACATTCCCCCCCCCCCAGTTTTTATCCATTTAAATTTTCACTGTCACACCCAGTCACGAGTTTTAAGCATTTTTTAAAATCTATTTCTAGCCATTTAAATTGTCACCGTGATGGGGTTTCACCATTGCGTTTCCATTTGTATTGATTGAAATCTTCTGAGTAGGGGGAAGTCGTAGGGCAGTTCGGGGGGCGGGGGCGGCCAGATGAGAATTATTTTACAACAGTAGATGCTGACGATCGACACGTTTAAAGCGGCATAACCGTTAAACCGCAAACGGTCGCCCTCCCATGTCAAAATGCTCCTCTGTCCGCAGGCCATAGAGTGACCAGATGTCCCGATTTTACAGGGACAGTCCCGATATTTGGGGCTTTTTCTTATATAGGCTCCTATTACCCCCCACCCCCTGTCCTGATTTTTCACACTTGCTGTCTGGTCACCCCAGCAGGCCGCATGGTCCTGACATTGCTTTTGTTAGCACGGCTGGAAATATCTCGGCCTCGCTCTGAAAACCATCTGTCAGATCCCAGCCCGCCCGGCTGTGCACAAGGTGCCCCTCAAAGGGTGCCAGGCTGAGACTGGCTCTGCTTGCCACAGCTCCCTCTATAAATACCCCGCGGTGCTGACAACAAGCAGCGCGTCTTCCAAGCTCGCCCGCGGGGGTGTGTGTGTGTGTGTGTGTCACAGCGCCACCTGCTGACCATTCCCCGCCATAGCAAGCTGAGCTCCCTCCCTCTCTATCTCTCTGACTCAGGGGTCTGCATGGCCGCGCACGAGAGCAGCTACAACACCCAGGCCACCCACTACAACAGCTGGGACGGCAGCACCGACTTCGGCATCTTCCAGATCAACAGCCGCTACTGGTGCCAGAACGGCGACGAGTACAGCTCCAACATCTGTCAAATTCCCTGCAGCGGTGAGGTCGGGGGAGAGATCCTCTCTCTTGGAGGGAGCCTTGTCGGGCTGTTCCTCAGCTGTCCTGCCCCAGAGGTGGCTGCCTCTCAGCCATCCCCGCGCGGTGTTAT